GTCGTTTGAGTCAGCTAGTTGCCAATGCTCTTGCTGTACAGGATTATCGGTTCAATCCCTTCTGGGAGCTTACCCAGGTGTTTGCTTTGCACGGTGATCAGTGTTTCCAAGGACCCTGGCACCAACAAGGACTCCAGCAGCCCCCGTAAGGAATGTGCTCCTTTTCTTCTTCGGGCGTTTCACGGGCGGGGTCGGGTTGGGATCATAGGTGTCCTTTTTAGGTTAGTTTTGTTAAGAATAGATGGCGTTGGTTTAGATGGGCTTTTTTCCTTTCCATCTATATGTCCCAAAGGCCACCTACAGTTGAGATTTTTTAACGGATGTTCCTCACCTGTGGAACTTAGGAGCTGGCCCGGCGCAGTGCGGACCAGGAGAACTCGAGCAAGTCGCACTTCGGACGCTCCGTGTTGGTGTTGGTTTGGGAATTCAAAAGGCACCCACCCATTTCAGGGAGCTTGCCATGAGAATACACTTCACCTGTTTGACACCTTTTTTGACCTCAAAGGTCTTTGTATTTCCCTTTGGGGTGATGTTCTTGCACGGGTTTCACTGTGCCGCAGAACATAGACACGCCGGATGGACTTGGGAAGTTTCCGAAAAGGCACGGGCCAGACCCGCCGACGGGTGAGGGTTGTTGCCATGCTTAATGTCGTCACGCCAGTGTCAAAGCTGCTGTTGTCGTTTTCTTAGTGGTTCCCAGCCATTTTTCAGGTTTCTAGTTGTTTTTAGTTGGTTTAGTGGTTGGGTTCCATGTAACCCACAAGTTCAACTTTTAGCGGGGAGCAGTTTGGACCGCCCAGGTGTTTGTTGCTGCTTGGCTGATTCCGTGGTTTTTTGAGACGCAGTTCGAAGTGTAGGACCGGGTGAAGCTCATCCAGGAATGTGCTGACCTTCAGGCGCAGGGAAGCTTTGTCTTCTTCTTTTTCTGATTTGCTTGGGATGTGCCAAAGCCTTTGAGATCCCCTCTGAAATCAGGGAGCGAGTTTGGGGATGACTTCCTATTTGGCTTGAAGAGCTCACCTGATCTCGATCTCTTGCTGGTGCAAACTAGAAGAGGATTGGCAAGAATGGAGATTGTCCCTGTCCGACATGGCCAACGACAGAAGGCCTTCAACTGTTTTCCGTGAGCCTGCCAGTCAGGCCTGTTTCACTTGGGCCGGGCGACTTGTGCACTTGATCCCCCGCAAGCACCAGGGCTCCGCGGGGCCCAACATGTTATCCTCTCTCCGGTTTCGACGGTAAAATGGGGCTGGGATCCGGAACGCAAGTGTCCGAAAGCCCAAATGGACGTCCAAAACCTGGCGGGCTTGTGGGTGCCTTCAATACTCAGTCGAGTTATGATCAACACCTGCTTTTAAAGGGAGCCTAATGTGCGCAAAACCAGGTGGTGAATCAAGGGGGCGGACATCCTTGATCTTTGGTCAGGACTGTCTCTTACTAGCCTATCTACGGTTGTGGATATGGCTTATGTTGTCAAATTGAGGACGCTTTGGTGGGCATCAATTACATGGCAATTTATGTCCACCAACTTTGCTTCTGGAAGTTCCCCGTCCAACGTAGCCGTTGTCCACCAACCATGTTTTAGGGTGTTTCCCATGAAACATCGTCGCCATGTAGTGTGGGTGAGACACTGCTCCGACCTGCCTGGTGCCAATTGCTACCACAGGTGTACTATTTAGGTCGGTTTGGTTGCATGTTTCAAGGGGTTGACTCCCATAGATGTCCAGAAAAGAGTCCAAAAAGCCAAGGAATCTGAATATGGCTTAGCTGGCCATGGACAAAGGGAGACAAAGGGACTCCCATGTCCACCTCGGCTCGTTCTCGCGGCTTCGAACGCGCGAGGGGCGGCTGGAGCAGTTGGGCCCCCAGCTACAGGGCCTGCAGGTGGTGGAGCGACGCTTCGCGGCGCTGGAGGCCACAAAGGGGCCTCAGAACAGACACGGGTCGGTGCACCCATAGAAGAACCTATTTTAGTGGTTGGATTGGGATGTTCACTGGGGGTACGATTTGGATTTTGACCTATGGCCATGTCTCAGATTCGCATTCCCCTAGATGTGAAGACCGCTGTGGGTTAAAGCTCCGCCTTTTTTGGTGAGGGAGTTGGCTGAAATAAAAGCTCAGGTGATATAGCCAACAGCACATGCATCCCGGGAACCTTCCCGGAACCTTCCCGGAACCTTCCCGGAACCTTCGTGGAACCTTCGTGGAACCTTGGTGGAACTCTCGTGGAACCCTCGCACCTTCCTCCCCCTTTTTGTGCTATGAAAGAACAGAGGAACACGCTCAAAACCGCTTGGACATACATCCGCAACCTGCAAGCCTCCCCCCCCCCCCGCCCCAGCCCCTTGCATCGCGAGTCCCTGGAGGCGGGCCAGAGCCACCTGGCCACGCAGAGCGCGAGGCTTCGGGAGATGAACTCGGCGCTGGGGGCGCAGCTCTTGGCCGAGAAGGGCGCCGGCCAGGCGCGCGATGCACACACTTCCCAATAAAACACAACATGAAATCCTGAGGCTCGCACGGCGACCGCAGAAGGTACAAGTCCACAACTTTTGCACACCATGCCGATCGCCACAGAGAGTTGCGCGGCGACCGCGAACAGTTGCAAAGACCCGCAGTTTTCGCACGCCGAACACGCCGGTCCCAGCAAAGGGTGGCGATTTCTCTGAGCTTGTTCGGTCCCGTTGTGCCGCCTTAAGAGAGCACTGTTTGATTGCGAGCACAAGCTCCAGCTGCACAGCCCTGCGCCATTTCACTGCGCGCACACAAGAGCAATTCACGCGCTTATCTCACGTGTAATCAGAGCTGCAAATCTCTGCGCAACTCTCTGTGCAATATCTAGGCAATATCTCATGTGAATGACATCTCTGCACAAGTCTCTATGTTATTTGATAGGTTTTCTTCTCCCCGTCGCTCCGTGCACTATCTCTCTGAGCCAGAATCTGCGTGGCCCTGTCCAGTGTCTCCCTGCCCAGAAGCAAGTGATAGTCATCTGTCCATGTGGCGCTGTGGACGCACGGCGCAGGAGGTGGAGCCCACTGCAGAGGCGGTAATGCGGGCGCTGCAGCTGCAGCGGAAGCTGCAGGCCTGTGGCTGGTCGCGATGGCCGGTGAAGGGGGGGGGGGAGTACTATGAGATCCTAAATTGTTAGAATGTTAAAAGGAAACCAGCCATTTTCTGCAGGAACCTTCACTTTGCGCATGTGTCAATTGGTTGAAAACGCCACCAGATGTCAAAGGTGATACTACATTTGCTTCGTGTAGATCATTTCACCTACCTGCATACCTAATGAAAGATGCGATTTCAAGCAAGGGTTCTGTTTGAGGGACCCTAGTCTCCATTTCCACGTGCCGGCATCCAAGAGAAGTTCAAGCAATATTGCATGCCAAGCGCGTTTTGTCTTGTGCTACGGCACACTGTTGAGCGACCCGGCCTGTACTGGCGATGCTTGAGCCGCCAACCTTTGAAGCGCAAGAAAGTTGCTGTCAACCCATTTGCAGCTACGTTTTGGCCGAGTTGGCATTTTCGCTTTGCTGTGAGGTTACTTGGGTCTGTCTCAAACTAGGGTGAGCCCTGCTTGCATGGTTTCAAAGGGATATTCAAAGGAAACAACGGGTTTTGAAAGCCCCGATTGAAACATCAACACCAGGCCAACAGGCCATGTCAAAACTGCTCAGAGGAACTATGAGAGCGGGGGCCAACCTTGGGGTTGGGATGACGAAGCTTGAGGTTTGAAGGGCACCCTAAGAGTCCCATTGTAAAAAACAACAACATAAAAAAGTAAGAGAACACAAGTCACCAACCCAAGGTTTTCTTTTGTTTCTTTCCAAAGTTTCAAAAAAGAGTCGGCCAACAAGCCCACAGATTACTTCGAGGTGTCGACCACTTTGCCAGGAGCGCCAGAATACGCAGGACGCGGAGCGCCAGCGCCTTGCCGACAAGATCCGTGCCCTGGAGCGCGGGGAGCGGCCCAGCGCCGGCGCCGCGCCCGGCGCCGGCGGCGCCGCTGGCGCCTACGGCGCGGGGGCACCTGGCACGGCGCTGGCGTCCGCGACGTCGGCGCTGCGGGGGGGATTGGGGAGATTAAGGGAGGGCCTGAAGATCTGAAAGAAGAGAAATCGACAGCGCCGCATGTGGGTCGTGAAACTTTCACAATCAAGTTGGAATCTGAGAATTGTCCGGATCTTCGAGCCTCTCGTTTCCTCGAGCGCGGATGGCGAGTGCAAGCCGTTCGTTGCGTTTTCAGCTTGACTCCTCACTGTCTCTTGGACAGGCGAGGATGTTACCTCTCTTGTGCCTCTGAGAACTCCATGACTTCAGAAGCATTGTTAACGAAATCGCCGGCATTCGCGAGACAACGCCTGGCTGTTAGACAAAAGTTGTGCGCCTTAGGTGCGCCTGTCTTCTGCATGCTTACGAAGCATCCGTTGAGTTGGCAACCGGAGAACTGTTCTGGGTTTAGTTCAAGTAGGTTCTTCTTCATTTTGATACAGCCCCAACAAGAATGCGGCACCCCATTGTTGCGCTGGACAAGAAGTCCATTGCCTTGGGATTGGTGCTATGTTGCACGGACTTAGCTAGCAGCTCTTGTAGACTCAGATGCTGTGCATACAGCACCCATCCACTTGCCATTGGTGTTTTTTCCGCTTTCCTCGGTATGCCGCTTTAAGCCTCGGCGGCTCGAGAGAACTCCCTTCCAGCAATGTGTTAGCTGGATTTGGGTGGTCTCTGCAAGTCAGAAAGCCACCACCCCAAATGAGAGTAGCTGCTTAGCTGGCGACTGACCGCGGACGTTTGGCTCACCGGTTGGCATAGCTGCCACTTGTGAGGGCACCCGCAAGCACCAGCGAGTCTGTTTCATTGAATTTGGGTCGGCGTATGCGAGCAGACCTGGCAGTTCATCTAGCCTGTCAAGTGTCAAATGACTTGGTGCCTTGACTAATTCTGGAATGTTTTATTTAGTGTCTGACGGCCTACAAGATCTATTGGCCAAGAAGCTTCATGCCAGCAGCACACATCAGCGACAGGGTGGCCGCCTGCCATGCCGAGCACTCTGCAGTGCGCCGTGGGAGCCTGGCGCTTAGCCAATTTTGGCCAGCACCAGCACCATCATCATCATCATCGTCGCCGTTGTCGCGGTCGCGTTAGCGTCGCCGTCGCCGCTCGCGCATCAACACCATCACCATCACCGCCACCCCCACATCGCCCCCACAACACCACCACCACCACCACCACCACCACCACCACCACCACCACCACCACCGCCAGAATCACCACCACCGCCAGAATCACCACCACCGCCAGAATCACCACCACCGCCAGAATCACCACCACCGCCAGAATCAGCACCACCACCAGAATCACAGTCACCGTCATTTTCTTTATCGTCTTCGAAGTTGTTCCTCGCCGCCGCCGTAATCGTTGTCGTGCTTCTCGTTGCCGTCCTTCTCCTCCTCCTCCTTCATCATCCTCGTCATCGACCCTTCAATGCGCACTTGCACCAACTGTACACAAACTCAGGACTTTCCCCTTGATGTTTCTTTCTGATCTGGCACTTTCCAAGCATTGGGAAGCAGAATTCCCGGAATACCAAAAAATGCCCCGCCATTGCCGTCCATCATGAGCGAGAGTATACTTGAACTCCTTGTTCGACCCCCCTTGACCGGGACCAACCACAGATTGACATGAGGCTCGGTGAAATCATCCAATAGTCTATGGTCAATTTGGGAGGGACATCTTGGAACCCCACTCAACCACGCCCCACCGCGCTTCCAGAGGCACACCAGAAAGTGCACAGACCGTTTGACCAGTCAAATCATGGCAAGGTGAAGAAATTCTGGCTCCGTTTCAGGCTAAAGGTGGATTCCATGATAAGCAAATACAACCGGAGCCTTTGCTCACGCTTTCCTTCCGGCATAGTTTGTCCGGGGGGGGGGGGGGCGGGGAAGAGCTGCAACTACTTTCATCGCCAATATGAAGGGATCTCAGCACCACGCAGCTTTGCTCCTGAACCACCTGCTCCTCTACGGATTCCCGAAATCGTTTGAAATCAAGCTCAATCTACCAGCCACCCATTGCAGCACGCCAACGCATCCACCTGTTCCATGTTTACGTCTCCAAAGCCGACCTTTTGCCTTTTGGCTTCCGAGTTTTGAACATGGCTCTACTGGCGATGGAACCCCCCACCCCAAGGCCTCCCGTAGCGACGCGTGCCAGGCGCTTTTGGCACAGGCGCAGACGGACGGCCATGAGAGGGGGGGCCAAAAGAGCCGCCCCATGAAGTCTACCCTCCTAGACTCTTGGCGGCTGGTTTTGCGCTTCTTTGCCGGTTTTGGAGAATCAGATGGCCACCACTTGACAGTCGTTCGCCGGCCCATCCGTTTTCATTCGCTTCGGTTTCAAAAGGTCGACCTGCTGGTTTGAGCCAAAATTGCTAGAACTAGCAAGGCCCAGTGCAATCAAGCACCTTCCATTGCAGGACTTGCGTCAATGCGCATATTTAGTTGCATAATTAAGATATGGGTGTGGGTCAAAATTCAACCACTAGGGGACCGCCTGTTTTAGGCCATGTTTCCATTATCCAGGCTTCCATTTTGGGTACCCTTTTTTGACTCACAGCCATATCGCCCATCACTGGAGTTCCTTAGAGCCAGCGACATCTCTCGCGAGGCAAACAAACCGCGCCAAACGAACCGCGCGGTTGACGCGTCGTGCGTCGCCATGGCAGGCGTCGGCCCTGGATCACTTTGAGGAGACGCTGCACCTGCGGGCGCTTGGCGCTCAAAACGGGGGGCTGGGTTAAGACTGAGGATGGGTGGGAAATCCGTTTTCTTAGGCACCACTGCTCCGAGAAACCCCAAATTCTAGTTGGTGAATTCCCTTTAACAACGGAATGATTGGATTCCCCAACGTAAATACCGAAGAACGGCTTCCACCATGGTGTCAGAGTGGTGCGAAATGGATTGCGTCCATCAGTATGGCCTAAATAATCAAAGTGGGATTGCGGGGTAGCATCTTTTTTGTCAGACTCTTGGATTCCACAACCATGGTGTGGTCCTGAGGCTCCCTCGGGAGATCGACTCTCCCGACCAGTACCTGGCGCGATGGGAGCCGGCCCGGCAGTGTTTGTTCGGTCGAGGATTCTCCCCTGAATTGGATACGTACCCTTCCAGTTTCGCGGGAGGTGTTCTCAAGATTCTCAAGTCTTACCGCCACGGGGCGGGGGGGGGGAGGCAAGCACTCATCCGCCAAAAAGGAACGCTATTGCGGCATTTGGCCGATTGCTTCGGGAGGTCGGTTGGAACCACGAAGGCACCCCCCTGGCGATCCACGCGAACTCATGACCAAAGGCAAACGCGGTTACTCGCTGTCGTAAGCAACCCTTCAAGCAGGAGACACGGAAGCATGCCTCTGCAGTTAGAAGAACTACGAAACTCAGAAATGGAAGCAGGAAAGAGACCGTTTGCAGCATTTAGAGGAGCATCACCAGCGGAAGGCAAACGGACAGGTGTCCAGGGCAAGCTCGAAGGCTCAGATGTCTTAGGCACTATTCAACCCGCGAGGCAAGCACGAAATGATAGACGGCAAGCCCAGCAAAGGCATCGAAAGAAACTTCTGATAGCTCTTCATGTATGACAAATCCGAAATGGCGGCAAACAGCTGCTCAAGAGTCATGTTGGGTCAACCGGGGGGGGGGGTTGCTGGGGGGGTTGCTATGAAGGATCAAGCTGGCCTCGCGCGCGGGGCCAGCTCGAAACAGGCCCAGTCCTTAGCTAGCTTCCCCCTCATCCTGCAGCTTACATGCTGAAGCAACGCAGGGCAAGTTTGCTGCACAAAAGCCGGTAAACCACAGGTGTTTTGCATGCGTGAACAACCATGTTCTGCAGGTGCCGGAAACTTGCATGATGGTAGCCTAAGGGCCGCGGTGGTGGTCTCGACCACTGTTGTGCGATACCAGCCGATGTCTTGCAAGCGCGGCAACCCCCCCCCCCCCCGGGTTCACGCAATGTGTCATGCTGTGTGCAGTGTGCGTGCGCGCGCTGTGCATCAGCGCATGTGTGCGCGCAATGTTTGTCCTGCCCCAAGTCAGGCATCTTGACCAGGAGAAGGGAGAAGCGCAGGTGACTTCGTCACTCATGGCCCGCTGACAAAGTCATGGCGGTGCCCGCAGCCGCCAGGTTCGAGATCAGCGCGCCGCGCACCGCGGCCTTCCGCGCGGACCAGTTCGACCTCTTCCCGGGGCCCATCGGCAAGCTGCTGAACGCGCCGGGCCGCCCGGAGAGCCAGGTCTCCGGTGGAAGGAGTGGGGGCTGTGGTGGAAACTGCAGGTGCCTTTCCGTGATTCCATGAAACCTATTCCAGGTTCTTTGGAGTGACCTCTTTGTCTTTTTATGGCTTTGTAATACTTTTCGGGAACGAGGTCACGTAGCTGAATTTCAAGAGGTCACATTAAGCGAGAAAAAGGCCACTTAGGCTACAGAGGCACTACATAGAAACAAGTGTCTTGTGGCTACTTTGAAGCATGTACATTTGAGCTCCCCCAGTTCATGACGAGCTCGCGGCGAATCACACTCAAGCGAGCTAGACACCACTTAGAAGAAAACAACTCACCTCGGTGTGACACTCAAATGACACGCATGTACATCAGATCAAGCCTTGCACTCACCGGGGCAAAAGAGGGCACTTTGAAGCACCAAAAAGGAGCTGCTTAGGGCCGCGGCGCTCAGTCAAGTGCCCTCATTTCATTGTTGGCCTCAGTGGCCGCGATTTGAGGTCGAAAAGACGCTGGTTTGGGAGCCTTTGGTTCGGTGGTCCTATGAGAGTTCGTGTGAGGATTTTCAAGGGCAGTAACCCAAAGAGGGTCAACTTTGGGGCACCTTCATCCGCTCGGCGGGCCTGCCTGAGAGCAAGCCTCGGGTTTTATTCGGACCCCCCAAAACGGCTTCGGTGGTCCTTTGGTTTCCCTCCGAAACCAACACAAATGGGGTCCAACTGCCAATTGCGTTTCAGTGCTGTTGCGGACCTAAAAGGCTTACATACCCTTTAGTTCAAACTCAGAAGGCCAGAGGCCCCGCGCTTTCTCACTGCCACGGTCCTCCTGCTGAAGGGGCTGTCACTGTGTGTTTTCTCGATCGGGACAAGCAGCAATGGGCGAGAAAGCCACAGCTCATTTGTTTGGCAAGTTATTTTGCAATCGACAAAGTGAATCCCAGCAAATTTGAATGGGCTGGCTTATGTGGCTGGGTCAGTTCCCGCTGTTAGCCACTCTAAATGGTTGGTTTCCTTTCAACAGCCACCAGACCAGAAAGCCCATTTCAGATGCCCACGTGAACAAACGGCACACCATTGACAGCTTGCTGGCGACTGCCTTTCTTGGCTCCAAGCTAAATAGGTTACTTTGCCCTGGCTGGGCGCTCTGGTGACGTGGCTGCAATGCAGTGGGCAGTGGCCGTGTGGTTTGCCCTCACTGAAAGTCGAGGGACCCCGTTTTTGGGTCCTTCCCTTGGCCACCAGAGAAAAGGCAAGGCCTGGTCTCACAGCAGTTTGACCAACTGACTGGCTGGAGCATTGAGCAGAAGCCCTGGGGGAGAGAAGAAAGCACTTCGGCGGATCTGCTGTGCTTATCTTTTGGCCAATGCTCCCCTATCGATCCACCATAAAACACCACTTGGGGGGCATTTCGAGCCAAAACGCGGCAAGTGCGTGCAAGAATTGTAAGTTGGAAGGCCCCCATATGCGACGCAGTCACAACTCTCTTTGTGGTGCAACAAGCAGGGCGATCAAGCCCTTACTCATGGATGAACCAAGCATTGTGACTGTGACCACACTGGCTACCGAAAGGTTCCCATTTTCAAGCCCCGAATGGCTGCTGCAGGCCATGGGAAAAGACGATGATGAGGCCACTGGGTGGGGGTTGAACGCTGGTAAAGTCCGGAGGCGGAGATGCGGGGTTTTGCTTTTGCCACCGAGGGAACCTGCCCTCGTCTTTTTAGGTAAGTTACATGCATATAGGATCCCCTTGTGTAAATTGGTTTCACTCATGAAGCACGGGTTTTGCTCTGAAGAATCCCCTTCTTGACACAAGAGTTTCAGATTTCCTTGGTGGTGCAATTTCGTGATGAAGAATCGGCCCACCGACAGGATTATTCCTGAGAGAGAAATGTTGCTGCGCCAGCGGTGCGTTTTTCAGTATAAGTTAGCAGTTTTTCAGGTTTTGCAAATGCCACCTTTCTCTTCTGTCTTTTCTTGCTCACAGGTCCAATCAAGATGTGATCCCTTTCTGGGCCAACCGACAGGGACTATTCCTTGCCAGGGAGTTTGAGGCACTTTCTGGCCAAAAGCATCTGCCTTCGTTTGGAAAGCCAGTTTTCGAGGCCAGGTCCTCGAGCGGGCATCTTCTTGGAAGTTAACATCGATGCTTACGGGTTGAGGGCTTCCAGATACAGGGGTGGGCAAGGCGCTGCCCACCTTTTTCCTGAATGTGATCTGAATCACTTACTAAGCATGACGGTATCAACTTACCGGTTGAAGCTCGCAAGCCCTATACACGTTGTTCACGGCAAGCAGACGCACTTGCAATCATGTCAAAGCTGCCAGCTAGATCTCCCTTGAGGTGCTTCTTGCTGCCCTTCTCCCAGACGGCAAAAATCCACCTTTGGTACGGGGCAAGACAAAACAGGTCACTCATTTCGCAGAAGTTCCAACCCTCTGTTGTGGCCATGGGTCATAACCTATGCCTCCATTTTGGGGGCGGATGAACACCCATGTACAACTTATTTTGATGTTCACCAGGGGTATGCCTCATGGCCACTTAAGAGGGTTGGAACTTCTGCCAACTGAGTGACCTGTTTTTTTTTGCCCGGTACCAAAGGTCGGGTTTTGACCCACAGCCAAGTAAGCCCGGAGGTTTTATGGTGCCCCCCTTTTTGGCCAGTTGGGGCCCGGTTCCTTCAGGAGGACTGGTCCGCCCGGGCGCAGCTCCAGAAGGAGTTGAAGCGCCAGCTCTCGAAGCACAAGGCGCGTGGACCGGGAGTCGATGGACTGGGTGGCAGGAAATATGGCGGGTGGGTTTTCCGGGTTGGTTTATTAAGGGTTGGGTTGAGGTTGGGTGGGTTGGGGTTTGAAATGGGTGTGGGTTTTCCAGGTTGGGTTGAGGTTGGTGGCATGAAACGGGTGTGGCTCACAATGAAACAGGGGGCAAACCGCAGGTTTTGGGCCATGTTTCCACTTACGAGGGTTCCAGTTTGGTACCGGTTTGTTGAGCCACAGCCAAATACGGCTGGTGGGTTTTCCGGGTTGGTTTTCGGGTTGGGTTGAGGTTGGATGGGTCGGTTCAGGGTTTGGATTGGGGTTGGCCAAGGGTTACATGAGGGTTGGTTGAACGTTGGAGGTTGGGTGCCCAAAGAAGAAACATTCCTGAGAATGGGTGGTGGTTTCCTTTTGGCTCTTCTTCAAAGCGACCAATCCCCAAGGTGATGACTGAAATATATTTGTATGTGTATTTAGAGATGTGTATTTGCTTGAATGTTGGAATATCCTTATATAAACGTGATGGACATGATTCTTAATGTAAGTGATGTCACAGTGATGTCCACCAAAGGGTCCCGTATGAATATCATGCCCACAGAACCCCTTGGAGTTCTTTAGTTACCGCGCTCTTAGGTTGGCCCGCGTAAATCCACGAACACAAGGGAAGGTTGTTCATGTTTCGTACTGTGGGTGTGTCGTTTATCCATTTTGGACCCCCTCCTTTTGGTTTCCCTTTAACACCAACACCCCCCCCCTCCCCCCAAAACAAAAAAAAGAGAACACAAAAACACGACGCACCCTCCAAAAATGAGAGACCCACGTTTTTGTTTTGTGAACTTCCGAGGAACCACCGCCAAGGGGAAACCCCAAAAAGACGGCCAAAGGCCTGTTGGCCGCCTTCCGGCGGCTCAGGTGCTGGACTACATCAACGCCAACCGCCCGCTGTTGGGGCTCTTCATCCCTGCCCCGTCCTGGCCGCCGGTGCCTGTGACGCTGGACCGGCGGGGGAGCCCAGCGGAATCATTCTGAAAGCCGTGGCGTTGCAGAAGGAACCCGAGGCCGCCTGTGGCCCTTTCAGAGGATCGTCCAAAGGACTCAGGCGACCATGCCAAGGTGGACAGGGTAAAGTCTTAGGTTTGGAGGGGGGGGTTCACCTATTTGAGGGGCTCATTGAGAGGGATCCTGTCCTTCTCAGACAAGCCCTATGGCAGCTGACGGGTCCCAAGAGGATATCGATCTTCCAGTGTTATTTTTCCCCAGAATTGCTATGTTAGTGGGAGGAAGTGTGATTTGAGCTGGGCACCCATTTGACAGGGAATCCTTCACTTTGAGGCAACAGCCCATTCATGTTGATTCACCCGGAGTCCACCAACTCACATGGATTAGCAAGATGCTTGCCCCTGAAACGGGATTCTTTTTGGGATACCTCTATAGGCAGCACACACCAGGGTCCCAAAAGTGCAAGTTTCGCATGGGAATCTATCAATCTATCACAAGCCATGGCAGCCCACAGGGGAATGGTTCCCAACTTGGGAGCTTTTCACCTTTTGAGCATCCCCTGAGAGCTTGCGCGTGCGCTTGGCTGCGGTTTTCTTCTTCGCGTCAGCCATAGATCCCCAGGAGCCCCGCCAGGGGCTGGGTCTTTTTCGGGCCAAACTGGTCCCGGGGGGGGGCGGGGGGGGGGCAGAAAAACCCCACCGAAGGGCGAATGAAGAATCTTTCTTTCGAAGCCCTTCGCGAGGTTCCTTTTCATCGGCGTGCCGCGCTTGGCCTTCCTGACCGTGTCGGTGACCTTCTTCTTCATCGAGCCCCGGATGCAGCTGGAAGGGGCCCGGAAAAAGGCCGTGAACAGCGGCCAGCTGAGCCGGGTAGATGAAGGTTGGTAGTGGTGAAGCCGTAAAATACCAGATGCGACGTTGACCGTACTTTTTGTTCTGCACAGAATGTGGGGTAGACACCTGTGCCAGGTTTGGATTGTGACTCTTGCGACCAGCCCCGAAAGAGGATGGTGCTCTTGGGTGGGTGTCAGAAGGTTCAGGCCCTGCCATGATTTGGCCGAAGTTTATGGAAGGAGTCTCTGACAGAAACACCTGCAATTGCACACGGCCAGGTTGCTGTTATTGGAACAACCTCCGGCTATCATGCTGCCCAAACACGTCTCATTGCAGCCGATCTGGTGAATGATTGTTCAACCACCAAATCACAACGACAACCCATAACAATGCGAATGAATTCT